TCTCTCTCTCTCTCTCTCTCTCTCTCTCTCTCTCCGTCTTCCTCCATTCCTTCAAAACCATTTAACCCCTAACCCTTCCGTCACCCCTTCCCCCTCCATGGCATGTGACTAACCTCTACCCTCACCTGTTACATTGCCAGGGAACGAACGGAAAGGAACTTAGTCCTCACTTGGTGGAAAGTGAGGGCAAGGGAAGGGCTGCCGGTCCCTTGTGCCACCAAGAAGGAAAGGATACGAGACTATTGAGAGCATTTGCGAAAGCGAAAAGGAGTGCTGATTTTGGACGAGGTCAGTTTGACTCGACAATTTTCCCCGACCGCATGACTAAGGTAAAGGCATGGTTTGCTTGAGGGAATAGAAAAACAACTAAGGAATCGACAAAGGCAAAGGAGACGTAGGCTTGTGGGAAGGGGCGATGTGTTGACCCCAATGGGGATTGTGCTTGGTGCTTTGCTTTGTGTGGTCTTGCGCAGGTGAGTAGCTTGGGATGATCTGACCGGGACTGGATCCGCAGACGAGGGCAAGGGTGGGAAATTGGATAAGAGGAAGGACTTAGACCTCGCTCAAACTATGAATGCAGGATGGGTTTGATGGTCGGATGCTTGTATGAGTGGTAGACGCCTGGATGTGGCTTGTGTGATGATTGGGTGTATGCAAGCCCGGAAGGACTAAGGGCAGTCTTGGATAGGTGAATGCAATGCTAGTGGCTCAAGCAAAAAAAAAAAAAAAAAAAAAAAATATAGCGGCTAGGGGTCCGGGCGATGCCACCCCACCCGAGGGATGTCGTAGGGGCTGTCTTGAGCCACTAGACTTAGTGAAAAGGTGTGTGGCCCAATGAATGAGGCTTGGCCTACACACGAAAGAAGACGAGTTTCCAATAAACTCCCTGGACTGCCTGCGTATTGGAAGGAGCAATTGCCTGGTCAGACTTAATTGAATCGAGAAAACGCCGAGAGTGACCAAAGAGCTACTGTCTATCGCGAGAGCGGAGCTACATCCCCCAATGTAAAGCCCTCTCGCAAATGGCCCATCCCCATCCATCTCATAGCACTAGGTGGGGGTGCCCCTGGGACGAATGACCCGCGCCCTGAGCGTGAGCGTGGGCGGGTCGAGCCAAATGGGACCCGCAGTGGGGTCGACTAAGGCTCGAAAGTCCTTCAGGGTAAGGCCCCTACACCGGCCGCTTGGTCGTTCAAAGGTTGGTAAAATGAAAGGCACTGGCATTTAGGGGGGGGGGCCGTAGTTCAAGCAAATGCAGGACCGGTATTTGCCCGTGGCATTTTCCTGGGAACCGGTAGGTGGCCGTGGTCTAAAATATTTTGAAAC